CGTAGAGATGCCAAAAAAATAAAATAAAGAAAATAGATAAAAAAAAAAAAACCCAATTACTAATAAAAACGCGATAAGGGGAGACACGCTCTTTACATGCCCTCCTCAAGTTAGGCACACTAGTGAGTCGCACATGCCCAACTTGAACACATGTTTTTGAAGAGCTGAAACTCCCAACGACTTTGTGAGGAGATCTGCGAGTTAATCGTTGGAGTAAACATAGCTCAGGTAAATGAATCACTGTTTCACTTTGTTCTTGACTATAAGGCAATCAATATCTAGATGTTTTGTGTGTTCGTGAAAGATAGGGATCTCTGCAATGTGTATGGTTGCTCGATTGATGCACCATAGAGTGATAGGAGTTGGATTAGACATCAAAAGATCGACTCGTATGTTGTAGATCCACTTTAATTAGCTCACACATTGTGCTTGCTAGTGCTCTGTACTCTGCTTATGTGTATGACCTAGATACTGTTCTTTACTTTTTTGTTTCCCATGAAATAAGTGAAGTTACAAGAAAAATGCAATATCCAGTGATTATATGGGCAAGTCCCCCAATCTGCATCACTACATCCAATCAAGTAAAATGTTGACTTTGTTGAGCAAAACAAACCCATTGATGGTGCCCCTTTCACATATCTAACTATGTGCACAGTTGCATCCCAATGAGTTTCTGTAGGCTTGTTCATGAATTGACTGAGCTGTTTGTACTACAAATGATATATCTAGCCTTGTGAAATTTAGATATAGCAGTTGTCCTATCAACCTCCGGAACTTCTCAGGCTCATCTAGTCCTTTACCTTTTTCAGCCCTTAGTTTGACTCCTGCAGGCAATGGTGTAGAGGCTAGCTTGCAAGTTTTAAGCCTGTTTTGTCTAAGATATCTAGGACATACTTTCTCTGATTGAGGTGGATCACTTGTTCATTCCTTGCTATTTCCATCCCAAGGACATACTTTCCAAATCCAAGGTCCTTGATGGTAAAGGTCTTGTCTAGAAAGGACTTGAGGGTCTTCAATTCTTGTGGATGTGTTCCTGTGATGAGAAAATCATCCACGTATACAAATAGTGCTAAAAATCCACTCTCACTAACTTTTTTTTTAAAAAGAAAATGATCACATGATGACCGTGCTTTTCCATAATTGACCAATGTTTATGCAAAATTCTGAGTTTCACTCTGATATAGGATATTATACATAGAATCGGTCCAGTTGGTCGTGGGACAAACTAGAGGAATTAGTCTGGTCGAATAGAGTCCAGGCCAAGAGATTACGATCAAAATCACAACGACGAGAACCTTAGAAGAAGAGGTCGATCCCCAATGCTCTGGAGGATTTGGTCGAAGGAGGGACCAATCAAGCAAACGGTCATGCGATCGACCAGATCGCGTACCAAGAACTGCTCTAGCGACTTACCCAGATTTGGTCGAGCCTGAGAGCCCTCAAAGGAATCTTTACCCATGTGTGTGGGACACGTGGAGCAGCTGAATTGGCCTAGGTTAATAACCGTTTCTGACACATTCCTGACACACCTACGTGGAGCGTTGTACTACCGGGCAGGTCGGGCAGCCAGTTCATTAAATCTTGGCAGCTTCTAGAACATATACCTCACCCCTATATATAGGGGTGAGCCTTATGATTTTACACACAATTTCTCTAACACACCATTAACACGTAAAATATTTCTCATGACTGAGCTGAGTCTTGGAGGCTCTTCACAGGAAAATCCCTCCGGTGTGAGAGTTTTGTGTAGGTTTTGGCGTTCTACTGGCGAGGATAATAAGGACTAGACGGTTTCCAGCTAGTGGGAGTGTTATACGTGTATTATTGGCGCCCACCGTGGGGCCCTATTCAAAAGCTGTGTGTGTGTGTTTTTAGCCATGGCGGACGGAATTTCTCGTGTTAATTTGCAGTCGTCGTTCGATGAGGTGTGGACGACGGCAAGACCGTTTGGAGCAGGCCCTCCTCCGGGCTTCTCTGGACCTTTACAGACGTCGATAATCCTAACACCTGTTTCGCATGGTTTAGGGGCTAATCGGCGGTCCTAGTGGTGGAAGAAGGTTCAAGCCGAGCACAAGAGGCTCGCACATCAACAACGGCGGCAATTCTTGCACCGTTGCACTTAGTTCCGACCGCGGTGCAGCAAGGTGGACCAGCAATGCAGGTAGTGGTGCCACCAAGAGAGGAGAACCAGCACCCTGGTTAGAAAATTGTGGCGATGACCAGAGAGGAGATGCAGAGGATGGTGGCCAACGGGGCGGTGCAGGCGGTTCAGCAGGTTACTAACCACACATCTCAGGCTGTGACTACGCTGACCATGGTGGTAGGAGCACAAGAAGAAGACGTATTGAGTTATGGTGGAGATGGAGATCCCAGAGGAAGAGGATGGCGGAGCAACTTTGCCAATTGCAGAAGAGGATGGATGGGAGGCAGGAGAGGCGTGCTCGAGGACATCCACTCTCGAGGGAGATCTTGGCAGCATCATTACCAGCGAATTTCAGGGAGACAAATCTTACTTATGATGGGTCGGCAGATCCGTCGAGACAGTGAGGGCGTTTCAGAACATGGCTGTCTTACATGGATATTCAGATCCAGTTAGCTGCAGGGCTTTCCTGTCGACCTTACGGGGAGGTGCTCGATTGGTTACTCCAACTTCCTCCATGGTCGATTTGGGATTTTGAGGATCTCGTTAACAAGCTAACAAATCAGTACTCGAGCGCAGTGGCCCAAGAGAAGACTTGCCTTACATTGATGGCGATGCGACAGGGAGAGAATGAGTCTTTACGAAAGTATGTTGCTCAATACAATCAGACGTGTCTGGAAATTCCAACAGCTTCGGATTAGGTCAAAGCAGGAGGGTTGATCAAGAGTCTTTACGAAATGGTTTTCCATATACATAATTATTTATGTTTTTATTATATGACTTATCTACGGGTGAACATTTTAAAAGAATAAAAATAATAATAAAAAAAAGAACACAATTATTTGTACTTTTCAGGCAATATTTATTCTGTTGGGATCGTTTTTGTAGTTTTTTCGTTGTGTTTGTTTAGTTGCGAGTTTGTTATTCTAGCGTTGCCAGCTTAAGCTCTAGGCGATCTTCGGATCTGTCCTCTCAGTCCTTTCAGCCTTTGATTGTACTTTTCAGCTTTTGGTTGTTTTCCCTTCGCATTTTGTGCGGTGTTTTAGTTATATAATATCCCTATCGTTCCGAAAAAAGAAAGAAAAGAAAAAAAAAAACTTTTTTCCATTGCATTTTGGTATTAAGTAGAGCTGTCAAAACAGCCCGTGGTCCCGCCCCGCAGAAGGGACAGGTTTGGCCTTAATTTTCTAGGCCCGCCATGGAACAGGCCTACGCGGGTCGCGGGTTGAGGCGGGGCGGGGCGGGGAGGGCTAGCCCACGGGCCGGCCCGCCTAATTAAAAAAAAAACAAAAAATATAAAAGCTACAAGTGCAAGTATCCGTTCTCAATTCCTCATTCTGCGCCTGCACCCTCCACACCAAACCCTAATGGCCCAAATTCCCCCCACTTCATTCTGTGCATTCTACGGACACGACTTCAAGACACTCATCCTCCTCATCATGTGGCTCCCAGACACCGTCTCCCTCGTCTTCCTCCGAAGTCTGAATCGTCCGTCTCATGAACTCCGATGGCGCATATTCTAGCACCCTCTTTACATCTCCCCGGCCTCGTCGGCTTCCACATGGCCCTAAATTGGAAATAACCAAGTGGAAGAAAGCGCCCAATTATAAATCCCTTTCCTGCAAAACACTAGGGATTTATTGAGGCAGACTTAAATCCCTTTTTATCATGGCCAAGATTTTCTAAGCCTCGTTTCAAGTTCTCAAAACGCCCAAATCAAGTATTTTAGATTTAAATAAATTAAATGTGGTTTTTATTAAAAAAAAAAATGGCGGGCCTGGCCCGTTAAACCCGCGATCCGAGGAGGGGCGGATTGGGCCTGCATTTCGTAAGCCCGTCGGCCCGTTTTGACAACTCTAGACCATAGTTTTTATACCCGGCCCGGTAATTGACCCGGGTAGGTCATCGGGTCATCGGGTGACCGGGTCAATTGCTGAATTAGATAATTAATTTTAAAAGTTTTAAAATTATATATTGAGTATTTTTTTCATATAAATATACATAAAAGTAACAAAATTAGATGTCTTGTATATAAAATTTGTACATTAAAGTATTAATAATATGTATCTCATGATAAATATTTACCATATAAATATATATACATAGTTTTATTTTTAAAAAACAAATAAAATA